GACCGACGCATGGTGAGTGGGATGAATGGGGGGCGGTGGGTAGAGAGGGGGATGGGGAATAGGAGGAAGGAAAGGGAGATGGGGAAACGGGGGGGAGGGGGAGCGGGAGCTGAGGGGAGCGGGAGCCGAGGGGAGGGGAGATGGAGATGGGCGGGCAGGGAGATTGGGGAGCAGGGAGATGGGGGAATGGGTGTGTGGGTGGTTTGGGGTTCTCGACCTGTGTGGGTGTGTGGGTGATTGACTGACGCATGGTGAGACAAAGGGTGGGCGATGGGGGGATGGAAGGATAAGGGACGGGGGAATGGGATGGGTTTGACACCTTCCCCACGCTGCTCTGCGCTGATGGCTGCTGCATGATTGACCGACGCATGGTGAGTGGGATGAATGGGGGGCGGTGGGTAGAGAGGGGGATGGGGAATAGGAGGAAGGAAAGGGAGATGGGGAAACGGGGGGAGGGGGAGCGGGAGCTGAGGGGAGCGGGAGCCGAGGGGAGGGGAGATGGAGATGGGCGGGCAGGGAGATTGGGGAGCAGGGAGATGGGGGAATGGGTGTGTGGGTGGTTTGGGGTTCTCGACCTGTGTGGGTGTGTGGGTGATTGACTGACGCATGGTGAGACAAAGGGTGGGCGATGGGGGGATGGAAGGATAAGGGACGGGGGAATGGGATGGGTTTGACACCTTCCCCACGCTGCTCTGCGCTGATGGCTGCTGCATGATTGACCGACGCATGGTGAGTGGGATGAATGGGGGGCGGTGGGTAGAGAGGGGGATGGGGAATAGGAGGAAGGAAAGGGAGATGGGGAAACGGGGGGAGGGGGAGCGGGAGCTGAGGGGAGCGGGAGCCGAGGGGAGGGGAGATGGAGATGGGCGGGCAGGGAGATTGGGGAGCAGGGAGATGGGGGAATGGGTGTGTGGGTGGTTTGGGGTTCTCGACCTGTGTGGGTGTGTGGGTGATTGACTGACGCATGGTGAGACAAAGGGTGGGCGATGGGGGGATGGAAGGATAAGGGACGGGGGAATGGGATGGGTTTGACACCTTCCCCACGCTGCTCTGCGCTGATGGCTGCTGCATGATTGACCGACGCATGGTGAGTGGGATGAATGGGGGGCGGTGGGTAGAGAGGGGGATGGGGAATAGGAGGAAGGAAAGGGAGATGGGGAAACGGGGGGAGGGGGAGCGGGAGCTGAGGGGAGCGGGAGCCGAGGGGAGGGGAGATGGAGATGGGCGGGCAGGGAGATTGGGGAGCAGGGAGATGGGGGAATGGGTGTGTGGGTGGTTTGGGGTTCTCGACCTGTGTGGGTGTGTGGGTGATTGACTGACGCATGGTGAGACAAAGGGTGGGCGATGGGGGGATGGAAGGATAAGGGACGGGGGAATGGGATGGGTTTGACACCTTCCCCACGCTGCTCTGCGCTGATGGCTGCTGCATGATTGACCGACGCATGGTGAGTGGGATGAATGGGGGGCGGTGGGTAGAGAGGGGGATGGGGAATAGGAGGAAGGAAAGGGAGATGGGGAAACGGGGGGAGGGGGAGCGGGAGCTGAGGGGAGCGGGAGCCGAGGGGAGGGGAGATGGAGATGGGCGGGCAGGGAGATTGGGGAGCAGGGAGATGGGGGAATGGGTGTGTGGGTGGTTTGGGGTTCTCGACCTGTGTGGGTGTGTGGGTGATTGACTGACGCATGGTGAGACAAAGGGTGGGCGATGGGGGGATGGAAGGATAAGGGACGGGGGAATGGGATGGGTTTGACACCTTCCCCACGCTGCTCTGCGCTGATGGCTGCTGCATGATTGACCGACGCATGGTGAGTGGGATGAATGGGGGGCGGTGGGTAGAGAGGGGGATGGGGAATAGGAGGAAGGAAAGGGAGATGGGGAAACGGGGGGAGGGGGAGCGGGAGCTGAGGGGAGCGGGAGCCGAGGGGAGGGGAGATGGAGATGGGCGGGCAGGGAGATTGGGGAGCAGGGAGATGGGGGAATGGGTGTGTGGGTGGTTTGGGGTTCTCGACCTGTGTGGGTGTGTGGGTGATTGACTGACGCATGGTGAGACAAAGGGTGGGCGATGGGGGGATGGAAGGATAAGGGACGGGGGAATGGGATGGGTTTGACACCTTCCCCACGCTGCTCTGCGCTGATGGCTGCTGCATGATTGACCGACGCATGGTGAGTGGGATGAATGGGGGGCGGTGGGTAGAGAGGGGGATGGGGAATAGGAGGAAGGAAAGGGAGATGGGGAAACGGGGGGGAGGGGGAGCGGGAGCTGAGGGGAGCGGGAGCCGAGGGGAGGGGAGATGGAGATGGGCGGGCAGGGAGATTGGGGAGCAGGGAGATGGGGGAATGGGTGTGTGGGTGGTTTGGGGTTCTCGACCTGTGTGGGTGTGTGGGTGATTGACTGACGCATGGTGAGACAAAGGGTGGGCGATGGGGGGATGGAAGGATAAGGGACGGGGGAATGGGATGGGTTTGACACCTTCCCCACGCTGCTCTGCGCTGATGGCTGCTGCATGATTGACCGACGCATGGTGAGTGGGATGAATGGGGGGCGGTGGGTAGAGAGGGGGATGGGGAATAGGAGGAAGGAAAGGGAGATGGGGAAACGGGGGGAGGGGGAGCGGGAGCTGAGGGGAGCGGGAGCCGAGGGGAGGGGAGATGGAGATGGGCGGGCAGGGAGATTGGGGAGCAGGGAGATGGGGGAATGGGTGTGTGGGTGGTTTGGGGTTCTCGACCTGTGTGGGTGTGTGGGTGATTGACTGACGCATGGTGAGACAAAGGGTGGGCGATGGGGGGATGGAAGGATAAGGGACGGGGGAATGGGATGGGTTTGACACCTTCCCCACGCTGCTCTGCGCTGATGGCTGCTGCATGATTGACCGACGCATGGTGAGTGGGATGAATGGGGGGCGGTGGGTAGAGAGGGGGATGGGGAATAGGAGGAAGGAAAGGGAGATGGGGAAACGGGGGGAGGGGGAGCGGGAGCTGAGGGGAGCGGGAGCCGAGGGGAGGGGAGATGGAGATGGGCGGGCAGGGAGATTGGGGAGCAGGGAGATGGGGGAATGGGTGTGTGGGTGGTTTGGGGTTCTCGACCTGTGTGGGTGTGTGGGTGATTGACTGACGCATGGTGAGACAAAGGGTGGGCGATGGGGGGATGGAAGGATAAGGGACGGGGGAATGGGATGGGTTTGACACCTTCCCCACGCTGCTCTGCGCTGATGGCTGCTGCATGATTGACCGACGCATGGTGAGTGGGATGAATGGGGGGCGGTGGGTAGAGAGGGGGATGGGGAATAGGAGGAAGGAAAGGGAGATGGGGAAACGGGGGGAGGGGGAGCGGGAGCTGAGGGGAGCGGGAGCCGAGGGGAGGGGAGATGGAGATGGGCGGGCAGGGAGATTGGGGAGCAGGGAGATGGGGGAATGGGTGTGTGGGTGGTTTGGGGTTCTCGACCTGTGTGGGTGTGTGGGTGATTGACTGACGCATGGTGAGACAAAGGGTGGGCGATGGGGGGATGGAAGGATAAGGGACGGGGGAATGGGATGGGTTTGACACCTTCCCCACGCTGCTCTGCGCTGATGGCTGCTGCATGATTGACCGACGCATGGTGAGTGGGATGAATGGGGGGCGGTGGGTAGAGAGGGGGATGGGGAATAGGAGGAAGGAAAGGGAGATGGGGAAACGGGGGGGAGGGGGAGCGGGAGCTGAGGGGAGCGGGAGCCGAGGGGAGGGGAGATGGAGATGGGCGGGCAGGGAGATTGGGGAGCAGGGAGATGGGGGAATGGGTGTGTGGGTGGTTTGGGGTTCTCGACCTGTGTGGGTGTGTGGGTGATTGACTGACGCATGGTGAGACAAAGGGTGGGCGATGGGGGGATGGAAGGATAAGGGACGGGGGAATGGGATGGGTTTGACACCTTCCCCACGCTGCTCTGCGCTGATGGCTGCTGCATGATTGACCGACGCATGGTGAGTGGGATGAATGGGGGGCGGTGGGTAGAGAGGGGGATGGGGAATAGGAGGAAGGAAAGGGAGATGGGGAAACGGGGGGAGGGGGAGCGGGAGCTGAGGGGAGCGGGAGCCGAGGGGAGGGGAGATGGAGATGGGCGGGCAGGGAGATTGGGGAGCAGGGAGATGGGGGAATGGGTGTGTGGGTGGTTTGGGGTTCTCGACCTGTGTGGGTGTGTGGGTGATTGACTGACGCATGGTGAGACAAAGGGTGGGCGATGGGGGGATGGAAGGATAAGGGACGGGGGAATGGGATGGGTTTGACACCTTCCCCACGCTGCTCTGCGCTGATGGCTGCTGCATGATTGACCGACGCATGGTGAGTGGGATGAATGGGGGGCGGTGGGTAGAGAGGGGGATGGGGAATAGGAGGAAGGAAAGGGAGATGGGGAAACGGGGGGAGGGGGAGCGGGAGCTGAGGGGAGCGGGAGCCGAGGGGAGGGGAGATGGAGATGGGCGGGCAGGGAGATTGGGGAGCAGGGAGATGGGGGAATGGGTGTGTGGGTGGTTTGGGGTTCTCGACCTGTGTGGGTGTGTGGGTGATTGACTGACGCATGGTGAGACAAAGGGTGGGCGATGGGGGGATGGAAGGATAAGGGACGGGGGAATGGGATGGGTTTGACACCTTCCCCACGCTGCTCTGCGCCAATGGCTGCTGCATGATTGCGGGAGACTAAGGAGGGGAGGTGGGGGGTGGGGGGGATTGCGGGAGGAGATGGGGAAATGGGGAAGGGGGGAATGGGGGGGTGGGGAGATGGGAATTGGGGGAAGGAGGAGGGCGAGGGGAGGGAAGATGGGGATGGGGAGGCGGGTGTATGTGTGTGTGTGTGTGGGTGTGTGTGTGTGTGTGTGTGTGTGTGTGTGTGTGTGTGTGTGTGTGTGTGTTCTTCTCCTTTTCCTTTCTATTATCGGTCCGGTATCACACGGCCTAAAAAGGGAAAGAATGACAGAACTCTCCATGTTTTGTTTTTCCCATTCCCTCTCCCTCCATGCGTATCCTCGTTATAGGGCATCTACGGGTACCCGATAGAGATCCAATCATTATTCTACATGGCGCTGAGAGTGGCGCGGTCGCTGCTGAGGGCAGACCTGGCGATAAACAAGGACCTGTTGGACCGCATAGATAAGAGGCTTATCGCCCTCACCTTCCACATGCGCACCTACTTCTGGTGGGTTGTGGTGGTGGGGGGGACTTGTGGGGGGCTGTCTTGCTGGTTTGGAGATCATATAGATAAGCGCCTCATTGCCCTCACCTTCCACATGCGCACCTACTTCTGGTGGGTTGGGCGGGCCTTGGGGTTGCCTTATGTTCCTGTAGTTCCTGTTTTGCTGGACCACGAGCAACAGAATACACAGGTACAAGATGTAGGATACACAGGATTCATCTGACCCATACCATCCACTTCTCCTCACTCTCCCATCTCCCTCGGCGCTTTCTCTCCTTCCACACCCCCCCCTTTCCCCCTCACACCCAGGCTGGACCACGAGCAGCTGAACAGCATATACCGGTACAAGACGGAGGAGTATTCACACACGGCGGTGAACAAGTTCAACGTCATCCCCGACTCCATCCCCGACTGGCTCTTTGACTTCATGCCGCTCAAGGGCGGATACTTCATTGGGAACGTCTCTCCCGCGCGTATGGACTTCCGGTGAGTTGTGGGTCGTTGCCATGCTATTCTGCATGGCAACAGGCAACACACCCCGCAAGTGTGCGGCACTTTTCTGTTTAGTCGACTCATTGTCTTCCCCCTGCCAAACAATCCCCAACCCCAACCCCCACCACCACCCCCCCCACCCTCTCCTTCCCCCAACTTGGCTGGTTCACCCTGGGCAACTGCGTTGCCGTCCTTCCTGCATGGCAACGGGCGACGCGGGCCGCAAGTGTTTTGCTTTCTTCTGCTAAGTCAAATCAATCCCTCCCCCCTGCCAAACAAACCCCAACCCTGCTTTCAGCTGGTTCACCCTGGGCAATTGCATTGCCATCCTCTCCTGCATGGCAACGAGCGAGCAGGCAGCAGCTATAATGGACCTTATAGAGGAGCGCTGGGACGAGCTTATTGGGGAGATGCCGCTCAAGGTGACCTACCCTGCGTTGGAGGGGCATGAGTGGAGAATCACGACTGGTTGCGATCCGAAGAACACACGGTGGAGCTACCACAATGGGGGGTCGTGGCCGGGTGAGTCTCAAGGCATTCGTGCACACACCTGCACACACCTGGACATACCTACACACACCTGCATACACCTGCACACACCTGCACACACCTGCTGGAAAGTGACATGAGTGGAGAATGACGACTGGGTGCGATCCAAAGAACACCCGGTGGAGTTACCACAATGGAGGGTCGTGGCCGGGTGAGTCGTGTGACATTGTAACGAGGTTGAATTTCTGTGTAAAAAGGTGAAATTCCAGTAACAATGTGAGTTTTTAGTGGCTTATAGGGGAGATGTTGCTCGAGATGACTTAATCTTTTCTGGAGGGGCATGAGTGGAGGATCACGATGGGGTGTGATTCCAAGAACACCCGGTGGAGTTACCACAATGGAGGGTCGTGGCCGGGTGAGTCTCAAAACACACCTACCAGAAAATTTCACGGGTTTGGAATAGCACAACAGCGTATGAGGCAGTCTGAACCAGCAACTAGCAGCAGCACCATCATTGTTTCTTACATCCCCATGCTCCTTCCCCTGTTGCTGCCCTCCCTACTAATCCTGCTGTGGATGCTCTCACAGTCAAAAGCATCAAAGTGGGTCGCCGGCACGTGGCCCGCCGGGAAACCTCATGGTTCTGCTGCAATTTCCCTCTCCCCCTCCCCTCAACACCCCCTCCCCCTTCCCACCCCCCTCCTCCCCCCTTCCCTCTGCCAGTGCTGCTGTGGATGCTCACGGCTGCGAGCATCAAAGTGGGTCGCCCACACGTGGCGCGGCGGGCAATCGACGTGGCGGAGAAGAGGCTCTCACAGGACAACTGGCCCGAGTACTACGATGGGAAGCTGGGGCGGTATGTGGGCAAGCAGGCGCGCAAGCAGCAGACGTGGAGCGTGGCGGGGTACCTAGTGGCGAAAATGATGCTGGAGGATCCGAGCCATTTGGGGATGGTGGCATTGGAGGAGGAGAAGATGCTGCAGCAGCCGGTGATCACTCGGTCGCACTCTTGGAAGCTCTGATTGGAGGAGGAGGAAGAAGGAAGAGAGGGGGCTGGGTGGATTGGTGCGCGTTTAGGGGTTGGTGGGGAGCAGGGCCGAGTGATGTGCTTATATGGGTGGTTGGCACAGGGAAGGGTTATTATTGTCATTTTCCTTGATAAGCGCTAGAGGTGTTGAGAAGATTGTGAAGTGTTGGACTGTAAGACTGTTGGTGTCACGTGTAAATTATTGGATAGGAATGCTTGTGGTACCAGTACATCAGATGTTCACCTTTTTGTTGAATCGCTGGAGTGTATTCTTCAGTGAGCCTCAGTTTCATTACAAGAGAGTGTGCCGCAGGACTAAAGCGAAAGCGGTGACATGCGAGGAAACGAAGTTGCCCGATCTGATCAGCCACTCCCAGGTGTCGATTGATTGTCACGGACACGGCGAAACTGGAGGCAACCAAGTAATCTCGTCAATGCCTTTCGCGACTCGAAAATCGACAACACATCTCTGGGTGGTGGTCGCCAGGGTATCGTGGCTAAGGATGGATATACAATTTGTGTACTGTACTTGGGTCAGCGTAACTTTCCGTCACCCCATCAATCTGTCTACAACAAAAGGGAGGGGGGGAGGGGAGGAGGGGGAGAACTCTCTACGAGTTGTGGTAAAGAATCCCATACCACATACTTTGTTTCTCTAGGGAGCACTGGAACCATATCAATAGAGTAGTGTGTCTATTAGGGTAACAGTGAAAAACAATCCATCAAAGCTATTTGCAGACACTCTGCAACCCGCAGGCATCACGAGCCGCGATGCTGACACACAGAAACAGAAAACCCAAGGTCGAACGCACGCCCACACCAGCCGACGTTCGCCATCAAATCAGAGGCCTCGATAAAACCGATCACCGACGGTGAGCCCATCGCATGTGCGATCGGCAGGAGGTAACCACCTCAATCTCCCCACTCGGCCGAAGCTGAACTTGACTGAGGTGCCTGTCGCAAAGTCGCTCATCGCGTCGCTCAGCTCCTCTACCCTTGCTGACGATTTCCATCTCCCCATCCGCGCGCCTGCGCTCTTCGCTCCGCTGGGTCACCTCAATTCGTACACTCCGCACCGCGCGCACTGTGGTTGGTCGGATTGCGGTTTGGCTGGAGAAGACTTGGGGGACTCAGCGGAGCTTGGGGAGCCTGTGGGGGGAGCAGGGGCATCTGCCGCACCTCGATATCTGCGTTATCTGCGCTGCCTCAATCTGGGCGGTTCAGGCGAGCAACACCGCCCCGCACAACCGCAAAGGGAATGTCGCGGGCGCTCGTTTCGAACATACATCCAGAGCGGTTCATTTTGTTATAATGCGTTCCCAGTGGGTATAAGCTTATTGCCACGGTAAACTGTCAAGATGTTGTAAATGAAACTGAACCATCAGCGGACCAGCGCGCGCGACTCGCGCAAGAGCTCCCCGCTCGGCTGGTCGCATTTGTTCGCAGACTCTTGGGAATTGGTCGCTCGCTGCTTATCATGCTCTTACTGGTCTGCGACTGTCAGGCCCTCTCCCCTGCTGGTGATTCTGTTGGTGCTTTTCCAAGTGCTCGTGAGTGAGTCGTTAGCCATGAGTCGTGACGGACGACATTGCCAAGGCTTGACTGATTTCCAACTTCAGCTTCCGTTGTCCAAGACGGACCAGTGCCAGTTCCCACTTCAACCATTACACAGCAGCGACAGATTCCGTCCGTAACCTCATAGATTCACGCTACGTGAGGTCAGTAGATATATATCTGAGTAGCAGTTCTCTCTCCTGCTGCTTGCCTGCTTTCTTGAACGTCTCTAAGTTAATCCAGCTTTCTCATATTGCGAGATCAGGTAAATCAGTCTAACGGTCCCGTTTTTCAAAGAGAGGGATTGAGTTCGAAGGTGCTTCAGGCTCTGATACTAGTCGTCCATCGGACCCGCGTCTTTGATACGCGATCTTTTGGATTCGGCGACATCTGGGCTTGTTGCGGCGCGTCCTCGCTCACCGCTTCCAAGTGAAACTCATCGGCTCCCCTCCCGCGCTCTCGCCTCTCGATCCCCGCTCCCACCACTCTCCCTCTCCCTCGCTATCACTCGCCGGAGGCCACAAACCGCACACGCTCACGCGTACGGCCACAGACTTACGTCTACGTCATCACCTTCTGTCTCTCGCCTGCCAGTCTTGCTCTCCCCGCTATCACTCACCCGATACCACAAACAGCCCACACCCACGCCTCCGTGAGACGCCTCGAGGATACACGTTCACGCAAGGGACTTTTCACGCGACACGATCTCCCCCGCTCGCCAGCGCCTTTTGAGTCGACTCAAAGTCAACTCGACCCGACCCGACTCTCACGTGCGCCAGCACCTTCGCCTGCGTTCTGTCGAAACTCTTCGCATGCGGACCGACCCAGTCATGCACGTCGACCATCCTCAACCACATGCCTGGGAGCGTCATCTCGCCGGGTTCGGCGCCGCATCTGCCGCTCTCGGCAGCACATCCCCCCCGTCACCAGTACCCGCAAACCACGTCAGCACCTCGCGGTCGATCTTCAACCTTATCAGGAAGACACGTGGCGTGCAGCCGTCCACGGGAGTCTCGGCTACGGGCGGCTCGGCTGGTCAATCAGGAAGCGTGGGACACGTAGGAACCGCAGCGCATTCAGTGGGGCAGTATGGCGACTTGACGGGGCGTAACGGCGGCTCAGCGGTTACTCACGACTTGGGCCCGTCCACGTCAGCGCGCCAGCAAGCCACGTGGCAGCACGGCAGCGGCGGCGGTGGCGCCCCTTCACCTCATCAGCCGCCGCCGCAGAAATCGAAACAGCAAGCGCAGCACGAGCCGCCACCGCCGCGTCATCACGCTGCTGACGTGTCAATCGATCTGGCCGCTTTACGCGACCGCGCGGTCCGGAGCACCGCATCTGTCGTGGATTTCCGTCAGCAGCACATGGTGCGGTTCTTACGAGACGCCAATCTGCTCGCGCTCAAGGGGCGCCGCGCGTGCGCAATGGGGGGCGTGTGGGGGGCGCACGAGGACGTTCTGGTGGTGTGGGAAGGGGAGGCGGAGGCGGAAGCGGAAAGTTCTCGCGGGTCGGCAAGCGTGGGGACGGGGAGCGGCGGAGGAAGGGGAGGGGGAGAGGCGGAGAGGCAAAGCCCGCGTTTGCACGGGTCCGGGGAGGGTTTTGCGCGGATGGGGGGGATGGCGCAGGGAGCGTGCGCGGGTGGGGGAGTCGGCGGAAAATTGCACGCGCGGTGTGACGAGAGCGCGTCGGCGCGGGAGAGAAGGCGGGAGGAGGATGTTTTGGGAGAGATTATCGCTGCTGCAGGGGCCGCCGATTGTGAGTATAACGGCGTGGTGCCAGCAGCGGGGTTGACTGTAACGGGAGTGGACGCGGCAGCAGCGACAGTCGCCTCCGCCGCCGTCGCCGCCGCCGCTGCCCCGAACGCCGAACTCGGAAAACTGGGGCGGCCCGGTATAGGTTCATATAAAGCCTCCGAGGGCGCGTTCGATGATTATTTGGTCCCTGCTGGGAGTAGGGTGTCACGGGTTGCGGCGAAACCAGGAGAGCAGGAGTTAGGGGGAGAGTCAGGGAGGCAGGAGAAGGGCGTAGAAAGGCAGAACACCGGGAAGAAGCGGGGTTTGAGTCCGCTACGTCTGCGGATTTCGTTACAGTCACCACGGCAGGGGAAGGAGGAGCAGCAGCAGAAACAGCAGCCGCCGAATCACCACCACTATAGTCACGCGGACCAGAGCCTGGACCGGCAGAGCAGCAGTTTGAATCAGGATAGTCACACCTCGTTTAGTCACACCACGGCCCCTCAAACGCATCATCAACATCACGGTTTGTTTCATGGGCTGTTTCGAAGAAACTCCAGACCGACCTCGCAACAGTCACACTCGCAGCTGTCACAATCGCAACAGTCACACTCCCACGGTCCCCTCTCCCATCCCCAGCGCTCTTATACTTCCCCTGTTACCTCCTCCGATACGTCTGCTGCTGCTGCTGCGGCGGCGGCAGCTGCTATGGCAGCGGCAGCAGCGGCAGAAGCAGAAGCGGGAGCAGAAGTAGAAGCAGCAGCAACAGTTTCGCCAGGGAAAGTGGATTCACACTCAAGCCGAGTGCACCAGCCTATGACTATGACTGCTGCTGCTGCTGCTGCTGCTGCTGGTTCGGTTGTTGCCTCACGTGCTTGTAACGAGGGGCAGGGTCACACACGCAGCCACAGCCACACTCCAACGCCCACCCACCTTCAAAGTCACACTCACACACACACCCTCGGCCCTCTGCATAACAACACCCATACCCGCACCCTCACTCCCTCCCACACTCCCTCACACACTCTCTTCCACACTCCCTCTCACACTCCCTCTCACGCACAGTGCAAGCAGCAGGTACTACAAATTCCGGTCCCTTCCTTAGAAGAAATCTTACACGTCCCTAGGAGCATAGCTTCCGACCATGGGGGGAGGGGGAGGGGCGCGGGGAGGGGCGGAAGGGGGGTGGGGGAAGACGATCCACTCCGCCTATCCAATCCCCCTTCCCCTTGCGCCACTGCCACAGCCGCGGGAACGGAGGTCCCCCTTTCCCTCTTCGCTGCTGTGCCTACCACCCCTGGCGGAACAGGAGGGGGAGGGGGGGGGCGCGGAGGGTGGGAATCCCCGCCCATGGCCGAAAAAGGTGGGGGGAAAGGGGAATGGGGGGGAAGAGGCGAGGTATATAACCTCCAAGGGCATGGTATGGAAGCAAAGAAAGGAGGAGGAGCAGCAACAGCAGCAGCAGCAGGGACAGCAGGAGCAGCAGCAGGGGCAGCAAGGGAAAGTGGCTCTAGTCATGCCACCAGAAAGGTGCACAGTACTTCCAGGGTCTTCCCCAGGCAGGCATCACCTGGGGGAGGCGGGTTTGGGGGGAGCTGGCGCAGGGCTGGCAGTCCCTGGCGGGGGAGAGGAGGGGGGGAGGGCGGAGGGGAAGGGGGGAAAGGAGGGGGAGGCGGAGGTGGAGGGGGAGGCGGAGCGGGAGTGGGGAGGATGGTGGGGATAGGTTTTGTGGCGGCTGCAGTGCCTAGATGGGTGACCCCCCCTAGACGGTTCTGGAAGAGCGGAGGGGGAGGATGGGGAGGGGGAGGGGGAGGAGGGGCAGCATCATCTGCGGTGGCTGGGAATATTGATGAGAACGAGGTATGGATGTGACAGTCATACAGGTGGTGCTGAGGGATCTTATTCTGAGCTTCACTTACGTTGTGCAGGTGAAAATTTAAGACTTATGGAGAAAATCTGAGAGATTTTGGTTTGAGAGGATGGGATATGGGTGAAAGCGTAGAATTTCAATGTGGAGGTGTTTGTTTCGAAGGGTCGTTTAGGTTCTACTGCAGAGGGAGGGGAGGGGAAACAGCAGGAGGGGAAACAGCAGGAGGGGAATGGGGAGCTGTTACGATGACAAGTTTTCTCCTCATCCTCCCCACAGTGCTGTCCATGCCTTCTTTCCATTCCACAGTGATAACTTGTCTTCCTCGTTCTCCCGTGTTTTTCCTCCGTCTCATTCTCCCTTGTGCTTCGTCTTCTTCGTCCGTCCTCATCCCTTGCAGCGGTCTCAACGCAGTCGGCACGGCAGTGCCGCTCCTGCCAGGAACAGAGCTGCTGCGATGAGGTGATGAGGCACCAGATGACGTGGCAGGGGGTGATGTGGCGATGTCACGTGGAGTGATGTCACGTTATGACAGAAAGTATGGTATGGCTTGTGAAAAAAGGCATGGAGTGAATGACATGAGATTTCATGGTGGGTATTTTTTCACGTAGTGGGAAACCCTGTATTCTTTGCTGCTACGGTAGTTGGTCTCTGACAATGCTGCAGCTCTGCCCTGTTCAGGGCTGAAGGTTTAGGAGGGTAACAATTTTACCTCTAGTAGGAGTTCTTTATATAGTTGCAGTTTTGTACAGTAACCATATTGTGATAGGTATTGCACTGGCTGTTGCAACACAGAATCCTTTTATTGTCCGTGGAAGCTGGGTGTATTTTTTTTTCTACTTTTAAGGAAGGAAGGAACTCAGTTAGCATGGAGAATATTTTTTAACTGCTAACTGAGTTCCTTCCTTAGGTACGGTAACCCAAGCAAGCACCCCACAGAACCCTGGTATGGTCGTAAGATAAGCCAAAATCAAGTTTTGCAGTTAAGACAGTAATGGAATACCATGTAAATGCATCACCTCGTTTATAGTAATTTGAGTGTGAATCTACATGCATGTTACCAAGCCAAAACCCCTCTTATCTTTATTTAACAAGTGTCCAGAAGTTGACTACCTGAAGGACTAAACCTAGAAAACAAGCATACACTGATCTATCTACGTACACAAACAAAGGGAATCAGACTACTTCACACCATCAACATGATCTCACAAGTTAAACCCTAAACTCTGTTAAAAAACTATATCGAATGTGGTGTACCAACAAAACAGGCTAGCTTCTCAATTCTTTGGAATGTACTCCCACGGCTTGATGACAACAATGACAATGACGATGATGATGACTATAACGAGGATCACGCCACAACAAATCCACTGCGGGAATGAACAGGCAAACAAAGAAATCGTACAAAGTGTGGGAGCACAGTGAATAAGGGACAAAACTAATAAAATCAACAGGGAATACCGTACTATAGCATAAAGTAGGCCACATTAAACACACGCACTAAGAGCAAATTGATGAATACGGGGAGGATAGCACACGGGTTGTTGGGCATAGCATCAGCAGCAGACAGCAGCACTCACCTTGCGAGTGTTGATTTGCGTCTTGCGTGCTTCCACCAGCTGCTTCGTGCCTTGCTGCACGTGGTCCACTGCTTGCCCCACCTGCAACGAGAGGAGGCGAGGGTGGGGAGCGGAGGGGGTGGGGAGGGAAGGGTGGTGATGGTAAGGGGAAGGCAGAGAGAGCAGTGGGTGCTTCCACCAGCTGCTTCGTGCCTTGCTGCACGTGGTCCATTACTTGCCCCACCTACAGAGAGGAAACAGGGGTTGTGGATGGGAGGGGTTGGAGGGAAGGGGGTTCCGAGGGTGTGAGAGTGGCGATGGTGAGGGGCGGTCAGAGAGAGAAAGCAGTGGGTGCTTCCACATTCCACAAGCTGCTTCGTCCCTTGCTGCACGTGATCCACTGCTGGATTGCTAAGCGGAGGGGAAGGAAAGGAGGGAGGGAAAGGGGGGGAGGGGAGGGAGGAAGCGGCGAGCAAAGGTGAGTCAATGCTCCACACATCATTTGCGCTATGGCTGCACAAGTCAACAACGGTCAGCCATGGCTGCCCAGAGTCAAGTCGACGCCAGTCAACGCCAGTCAAGTCGATGCCAGTCAACGCCAATCAAGTCAATGCCAGTCAATGCCAGTCAACGCCAGGGGTCAGCGGGCTCTCACCTGCACTTCGATGTTATCCAGCAGCTCGCCCTGCGACTCCACCAGCACGGCCATATCCATGAAGATCTGATGCAGCTCCAGCAGCTGCTTCTCTATGTCCTGCACTGCCGTGTGCCGCTCCTGAATCTCAGCCAATGTGTCCATCACCTGGGCGACGCGTATATGGTGGGAGGATGGGGGTACAGAAAGGGGGATGGGAGAGGGTAGGTGGGGAGTTGTGAGTTGCATCAAGGTGCAATGCAGCCCATAAAACTTCTTTCCATCCACATCCACTGCTTGCAACCCACAGCCCTTCACGAAGTCCTGTCTACTGACCCAGTAACTGCAGTATCTGGCACTCTTTGCCGTTCTTTGTCGCTCACTTACCCCCGCGTCACCCTGCCTCCCCTCCCCAGTACCTGTCCTTGGCCACTCTCTGCCCCTCCCTGCCATTTCTCTGCCGCTCCCTGCCGCTCTCCCCCTCACCTTGTTGCCACAACCATTCCTGCTCCAATCCCCTTCTCCCTCGCTCCCCCCAGTCACCCCAAAACCCCTCACCCCCCCCAGCCGTACCTGCCCTCTGCCCTGCTCCTGGATTGCCCTCTGGAAAATCGCCTCGCTCTCCCCGTTGTCAATCAGCGTGTCAATCGTCTCTGCGTCCGCGCGTTGCCCCGTGACTGTGAAGTAGCGCCTCTCCACCACGTCACGGTACTCCCGCTGGAACTTGTCCCTCAGCTCCTGCACGAACAGACAGGTACAGTTCGGTGCAGGGCGGTACAGAGGGGTACAGACAGGTACGGTAAGGTACAGATGGGAAGAGGAAGGGAAGGGAGGAGTGAGACACGTTGCCCCGTGACTGTGAAGTAGCGCCTCTCCACCACGTCACGGCACTCCCGCTGGAACTTGTCCCTCAGCTTTTGCACGACAGAGGCAGGTGCAGTTCGGTGCTACAGTACGGTACAGAAGTGCGCATGCACAGAACAGAGGTGCAGGTGATACGTGGAAGGGAGGAGCGGGGGGAGGAGAGAAATGAGTGGGGAGTAAAGAGAGGCGAGACGTGAAAGCTGAGAGGGGAGGGAGGGTGGTGGTGACGGCCATTCGCAACGGCATGGTTGAAGAGGAAGTGCTTTGCAAGGTAAGAGGTGTGTGGGGAGCAGGGAGTACGGTGAGGCAGAGAGAAGGGAGTGCGATAAGGGAGAAGGGCGAGGCGACGCACCTGGAACTCGTTCATGAGCGATTTCAGCTTGTTGGAAAGGGTGGTGGTGATGATCATTCGTTGCCGGTCTGTGGCGGAGCCCTTTTCGCACCCTGGCACCTTGCGGCTCTCGTCGTTCTGGTTGTAACGAGTCACGCACAAACGAGGGGCGCACGAGAAAGGGCGCACAGGCAAGGGGCGCACAGGCGAGGGGCAAACAAGCATGAAAACATGGGCAAAGGACGCACAGACAGATGCACAAATGGGCATGGGAGAAAGATCACAGTCTCTATCTGGAAGCAAGCCCCAATTGGCCTGATCTATTGACTTGGATCAGACAAATAGAAAGTGAACGGCGCGGGTCAAAATAAAGAGGGTCAAAGAGTGAGTCAAAACGAAGAAAGGGAGTCCAAGGAGAGAGGGAGAGAAATAGAGTCACAGGACTGCACAACTCACGGCTTTGTTCAGAGCTTCAATCTTGCGCTTAATCCCCTGTGCTATCTTCAACACTTGGTCGATATCCCCCTCCATGCGCTCCTTTATAGCTGCACGCACAGCCATTCCCACAGGTGTTAGTTCACGGCACAGCCATTTCGCACAGGAATTATTTAACCGCACGAGAATTACTTAACAGCACAGCCATCCCGCACAGTATTAATCTGAAAGCACAGACGTTCCACACAGGCACGGCATAAAAAAGCCGTGGTTGTAGTTCCAATCTTGCACTTGATCCCCTACGCTATCGTCGGAACCTGGTTGCTGTCCCCCTCCATGCGCCCCTATAAAGCTCGCACACGTCGCGCGCAGTTCTCACACGTCGCGCTCAGTTCTCACACGTCGCGCGCGGTTCTCACACGTCGCACGCGGTTCTCACACGTCGCACGCGGTTCTCACACGTCGCACGCGGTTCTCACACGTCGCACGCGGTTCTCACACGTCGCACGCGGTTCTCACACGTCGCACGCGGTTCTCACACGTCGCACGCGGTTCTCACACGTCGCACGCGGTTCTCACACGTCGCACGCGGTTCTCACACGTCGCACGCGGTTCTCACACGTCGCACGCGGTTCTCACACGTCGCACGCGGTTCTCGCACGTCGCGCGCGGTTCTCACACGTCGCGCGCGGTTCTCACACGTCGCGCGCGGTTCTCACACGTCGCACGCGGTTCTCACACGTCGCACGCGGTTCTCACACGTCGCACGCGGTTCTCACACGTCGCACGCGGTTCTCACACGTCGCACGCGGTTCTCACACGTCGCACGCGGTTCTCACACGTCGCGCGCGGTTCTCACACGTCGCGTGCGGTTCTCACACGTCGCACGCATTTCTCACACGTCGCACGCATTTCTCACACGTCGCACGCAGTTCTCACACGTCGCACGCAGTTCTCACACGTCGCACGCAGTTCTCACACGTCGCACGCAGTTCTCACACGTCGCACGCAGTTCTCACACGTCGCACGCAGTTCTCACACGTCGCGCGAAGCTTTCACGTTCCACGCAGCCCTCACACGTCGTAGGCAACTGTCGCATGCATCTCGCGCGAGCGCGTGTGCGTAGAAACTCGTTCGCCCTCATCACACCGCAAAGGCGGGCTGCGCGTTTGATGCAAATAAATCGCCCTTCGTTCTCGCGCCTCTCGCGCCTCTCGTGCCTCTCGCGCCTCTCGTGCCTCTCGCGCCTCTCGTGCCTCTCGCGCCTCTCGTGCCTCTCGCGCCTCTCGTGCCTCTCGCGCCTCTCGTGCCTCTCGCGCCTCTCGTGCCTCTCGCGCCTCTCGTGCCTCTCGCGCCTCTCGTGCCTCTTGCGCCTCCTGCTCCTCTCGCGACTCTCGCGCCTTCCACCCCACTCCATCCATCAGGCACC